GATGCGATTTACAGCGTAGGATAAAAATGAAGTTATTAGAATTAGGTGAAAAAGATATTATGAATATGAGATGTCATTTATAATTTGTTTTTTTTACTTATTTTTTTTACAAAATCATGTAAAAGAAATTTACTTTTCTAAACAAAATATTATTTTTTCTTGGATTCAATGAAACAAAATATAAATATTGATTAGCTGTCTATACATGTCCACGAAGATGAAAAAAATAATAATTTGATTTTGGCATATGTGTTTGATTAAATAGATTTGATATTTATCTTTATTGCTACTAAATGGTGCTCTTCAAATTTTGTAATGTTATCCATACTTCACTTTCGTTGATTTTGAAAAAGTTATTATCTATTCAAAGAAAACGAGACACCATTAATAGTAAGTGGCATCTGATTCAAAAAATAGACTATGAACCCTTTTTCTTTTTTGGGAAAAAATTGTTTTTTCTCAAGGAAATTAAAAAAAGTGTCAAGTCTCAATGTAACAAAAATAAAGAAAAAGAGAAAAATCTCAATAAAACAACTACAAATTTCTTTCCTTTTATAAATTATAAATTATCTCAACATATGCATCAAACTTTTTCAATCTAAATCACAAAACAAAAATCAATTTGGTCATACTATTTAAAGCATATTCTAAAGATATTGTTTATAAACATGTGCATACATTCAATAAATCGATTTTGATCGGATGAATTCATTTTCTTGTATATATATAAGGAAATTTATTAGGTGTTTGAGTTGTTAAATAGATAGGGTTAAAAGAGGATTTAATTTGATAACGAAATTTGATAACTAACTTAATTTTCTTGTTTTAATCCTAGTTTGGTTGCTAACTCCATTGTTTTTGCTTGGTGTTATTCAATGTCTTTATGAAAAAGGCTAAAAAGAATCATTTAGATATATATAGATATAGAATAATATAAAACGGCAGCTAGAATATGTATGTCTTTGTTAGTTGACTAATAATAATAAAAATATTAATATGTATATGTTCTTATTCTCATATTCGTAATGTTTATCTTGGCATTGGTCATGTCATGTTAAAATTAGGACTTTTTATTTAGAAGTTTTCTATCCCTGTTGTTCGTAGTTGGACTGCAAAGTCCATTTAAGATTGACACTTCTAATGAAAAATTTCTTTTATTCAAAACTTAAATTTGAAATATCTCATTAAAAGTGAAATACTTTATCATTACATTATAAAAGTAAAATACTTTAACATTACACTATAATCCATCTTAATGGTTAAAAAGACTTCTAACATGCAAGTGATGAAGTAAAATGATATAGTGTTAAGTTCACCACAATATTTAAATTATTCTTGCTACTATCTTAAATTATTTAGTTCAAGTATGCATCGACTTTTGAAATAATATATGAAAATATATACTCCCTCTATCTCAGTTAATACGAAACCTTTTATGGTATCAGAGTCAAACAGTTTAAGTTGGATCAAAATGTTGCGCACGGAATTTTCAATTTTTTTGAAATGAAATTTATATATTTGTAAACTACGTAAAAAATTATGAGTTACAATAATCGATAATTTAAAATGTTATAAAAAATTTACGATTAAAAATAGGCTAGTTTAACTCTTGAAATCCATGTGACATATAAAATGAAACGAAGGTAATAGTAATTTCTCTGCATGTAGTAAACAACACATGTATGCCATTTTGTATAAAAAATACATATTTTGATGTAAATCATACAATAATGTGTGTATATATATATATATATATATATATATATGGTATTATTTTGGTGGATGAGACTATACAAAGTAGTTTTCTCCTTCTTTTTTTAACAAAAATTTATATACATATATTTTTTCCAGTCAAAGACATTAGCTAAACTAACAAGATTAACTAATTATCGATCCTACAGTCATATTACAGGAAGAAGGGGAAAATATCAATTATATTGTTGCTTAATTAACTAATTCTTATTTTATAATATAAATCAAATGTGTTATTTATACTTCTCTGCATCCAATCATGTGTTTATTTGAATAATCCAGTACATAACAAGTTATTAATATGTGGTCAAACAATAATTAGCTACCTATTTATTTATGTGGTTTTATCAATAAGTCGTGGAATATATTATTAATGATAACAATATTTATTTTCAACCTATCACATGTCTATTTTCTGAATATTGATGGAAGCTATAGTTGGAAGGGATAAGAAAATGATACTTTGACTAGGCCCACTTATAGCAAGTTAACAATGCTGCATTGAAAATTGTGAAAATGATTAATATAATCGTAGCTTTGTCTTATAACTTTAACAGCACATCAAAAATATTTTTTACGAACAATTAATTAATAATAATAATTTAATTATTATTTAAAATATATTTTTAGTGATATTAGTATTTTATAAAAATATTTTTTATAATTTATAATAATATTTAAATTTAATAACAATGGGCAAAGTGTAATTGAGGAGTGGTTGTGAGAGCAATTGGATATGCGGTCATTTTCCCAATAAGTAGAGAATTTAACTATGGAATAACAACTTATTATAACTCATCCAACATTTTAATGTGATGTATTTTTGATTTGTAACCACGAGTAGGACTACATTTGCACAATTAGTATTGGGAAAAAATAGCTTATACATGTGGCAAAACTCGGGGCAAACACGTACAAGAAATGGCAAAGAATATCCACAATGATTCGTTTGATAGAGTGGCTAGATCGAGGACTACTTCAGCTGATCTATTGGAATCGTAATTGAAACTTGAAATCTAAAATCAATAACTCGTATTTCTATAAAAGTGAACAAATATGTTTCTCTACAATTACAAATCACATTAGCTAGTTAACATACATATATTATGGTATCTCCACGTGGAGAATTTTTATTAGATGTATTAGTATCTTTGTTGTCTAAGAGCCTGTTTGGCTCAGCTTAAAAGATGGTCAAACTGACTTAAAAGCTAGTTTTTGACTTATTTAACTGTTTGACAATACTCAAAATAGCTTATTTTAAGTAAAAAAAAAACTTATTTTAAGCTAAAAGTTAAAAGCTGGGGTAGGAGTGTTTTTTTTTTAGCTTATAAGCTGTTTTAAGTTGACCACACTTTTATGTTTTTTCCCTTAATATTTTTATACAATCTCCAAATTACCCATATAACCCTAACATCTCTTTCTTCTATTTTCCCCTTTTCACGTTTGGCATAACAACTTCAGCATTTTTATCCAAACGCATAACTGCTTATTTTAAATAAGTTTCAGCACTTTCAAAAGTATTTTTTTAAAGCTGCTTTTATTAAGCCCATCCAAACGGGCCCTAAGAATAGAAGTATACTCTAGTAAAGGCTTGAATTTGGAATAGTACAAAAGCAATGTATTGATTAGTTCGATTTTAACATCTCCAAATCCAATTCAAGCAACAAGGCTTTATATTTTCACCCGATATCATTAACTTTCATTATTTATTTCATTTTTACAAATATTTAATCACTAATATATCTAACCAACTATTTATATTTCAGTAAGTAATGTAATGAACAGCGTGCGCAAGGACAGTTCTATATTGATTTAACTCACTACCATATATTTTCAACGGACAAGGGTCTAAAATATCCTTAAAGTATTGAAAACGGTACAAAAATACCCTTCATCCACCTATTGGCTCCAAAATGTCATTTTCATCCACCTATTGGCTCCAAAATACCTTTGTCATCCACCTTTGTGTTCAAAATTGACCACTTTTTAATTGTTTTAAAATTAAACTCTTTAAATATTTTTTAAAATACTTGGCGTTCAATTATTGATTATAATTATAATTTATTAATATAATTTATAAACTAAACCACTACACACTCATTACTAACTAAACCTCACCCAATTAATAATCCAATTATAATATCAAAATCGTCATAAACACTATTAAAACACGATGAAATTGTAGATTTCTGAAAATGACATTCAAAATTATTCGAGTCCGAATCGGAGCCCCAATTAAATTTAGGTTGAGCCACTTATTTAGGAGGAAACTTTCTTTCAAAATAGAATTAGAAATTTATGATTAAAGGTAAAGAAATAATACATCCCGAATTGATTCATGCACTTTTTTAAAAGATAATTTTATAAATATTTATGATTTGTTTTAAAACTTTAATATATTATTTTGAAAAAAAGTTACCTATGAAGTAACATCACATAATTGAGCTGTAAGAATAATTAAGATAAACATAGTTAGACTTTTAAGTTTATTGGTGATTTTTATTTAGCCACTTAAATGTATGATAATTTACTTCTATAATTTTTAAAAATACTCAATTGGCAGTAGCTTGCATTAATAATGTGACGGGTTGATTAATTTAGAGGGATTTATTTATTAATGGGGTGGGTAGTGGATTGATTTATAAATTATACTAATAAGTTAAATTATAACATATAGTTGAGCACCACGTATTTTAAAAAATATTTAAATAGTTTAAATATAAAACCGTTAAATAAGTGGTCAATTTTGAACCAAAAGGTGGATGACAAGGGTATTTTGGACCCAATAGGTGGGTGAGAAGGGTATTTTGAAGCCAATAGGTGGATGAAGGGTAATTTTGTACCATTTCCAATACTTTGAGGGTATTTTAGGCCCTTTTCCGTATTTTCAATAATTAGCTTGAATCGATTTGTTTTCGGTAATTACTCATCACTATTGTAAACAAAAAAGGATGATAACTGCTAAGTTACACAAATTTAATTGTTTAATGAAATCAATTATAGAATAATGAATATATTGCTTATGTTAGTTGTCATCGTAGGATATTATAAAATGAATGTATGTTCATTCTATATTTATCGTAACTTTTCGATATTTAATAGTGTCAAAATATACCGACTTTGATAAGTGTTAGATAATATTTTTAAAACTAGATAGAGCATGGCCGTGCAAAGCACGGTCCAACATTAAAGGATCATTATTTCAAAAAAATTAGTGCATTATATAAAAGATCTGATTTTCACATTAGTGAATTATAAGTGGTATAATATCATTGCAATAAAGAAGCCGATCATATTTACATATATGTCAGGAAGCAAAAGTATCCCCTTTGTACATTACACGAATCTCTAATGTTTTACTTGTCACCATATATAATGAGTAAATATTTTGTTCTAATTTATATATAATGAATACTCACCAATTAGCCAAAGGTGTTGTTATTTGGTTCAACTTTCATACATTAATTTTTTCAACAATCTCCATAGGCCTGTGTCACCTCGCCCTTTTCTTTCGATGTACTTGTCTTGTCCATGCAAATATCCATGGAATTGCACGGAGTTGACAAATTCCACCTGAACTCTTTCTCCAACATTTCTCCTTGTTGGAAGGCTACCAATGTTGAGATATCCTAGCTCAGCCTGAGGTGTTGCTCCGTAGAAGTAAGGAACTCAGGGTTTTCATATACTGTGCTTCTATAACTCCTGCAACTCAAATTTGATATGTCATCCATCAGATTACGCCATTTTTGTTCCCTTGGAGGCTGTGGGGACGTAAAGCAGCAAGAAGAACAGCTGTAGTGTATATCTCTAGCTGCCGAACAGCCATTTGGGGTAATTCGAATTTCGCCTGCACCATTTCTCCTTGTTCCGTATATCTAAGAGAACCCTGATAATTTCAGTAATAAATTAAAAAAACTTCTTAGTGCATTGCAGGGAGGTGATGTTAAGGCTTTTCTGATAGCAAAGAAGAGCAAAAACTTAGTTTAAGAATCAGCAAACTTATGTCCACAGGTTGTGCCATATTTTTTATTATCTAGTCAAATTTTGTTATGCATGATAAGTTAGAGAGCATATTGTGAGTGGTCAGCTAGGAAGTTAAAAAGACTTAGACAAAGAGGAAGCAACAAAGGTAGGAAGAAAATTTGTGGCAATTCAATGAATTCTAAAATAGGGTGATGAACACATACACGTCTGTCTTTCGCTCCCGGATAATTATGGAAATATATGATATCTTTAGTAAAACCAATTCCTATCCAACTATACTCCCCTTGTCTTGACATTAACATGGAGTAACCAGTTATTACCACATGGTGACTGGAACTATATGGTTATGAACAACCTGATCTTAATCAACGCACCCATGATATAATTAAAACAATTCTTCAGGTACATAGCATGTATTAGGAACTTCAAGACAGTTTAACTGGAAACTAACCATAACAGATCCAGGTGGCTGGGATTGAATTGCAAGGTATGTAGGACCACAACCACGGCCAATGCTTCCACCGCGTCCATGGAATAGAGTTATTTTTATTTCATATTCATTACATGCAGCTACAACATCTTTTTGAGCTTTGTAAAGCTCCTATGCAGCAGTGAAACGACCAACATCTTTTCCAGAATCAAAATAACCAACCATAACTTGTGCACACCAACCATGATCTAAGCCCAAAAGTGAAACTTTTTTAAATAGCCTAATGCATCATGTCATAAATACCTCCTGATGCCCATTGTGGTTCTTTATGACGTGGTTCCTATACCAATCAATTGATAGTAATCTTCTAATCACTGAGCCAGCTTCTCTCAAGTCTTTGACGGTCTCAAACAGAGGAACCACATCTGTATACATAAATATTTAGCATTAAAGATTAATCCTACAATGTAAGAAAGAAAGGAAGAGCATAAAGAATATATCCAATCATCTAAAGGGGAAAAGAGATTGCCCCGTAGGCATGTGAACTTGTTTGAATGCAGATAAATAATAAGAATTGAAAAATTACCACCTTCCGTGAGATGGAAATTTTACAAGTACCAGCATAAGATGAAAACTGAAAAGACAATTCATTGGCTTAACATTAGCCCTACTGCATGAATATAGATCATATTAATTCTGAAAATTTAGTGCACAACCAGACATCCAAACGCATATAAGTTTTTGCGCAAGTTCATGAAGAAAGTTCTACATTCTGTGCAAGAAAATGAAAAGACTGCCAACAATGTTAAGAAGACATATCTGAGTGGTCCTTACACCAGTCAAAAGGGAAGCATTATTAACTACATAAACATGGAAAAGTTCAGCTAAGAAGTCTAAGCCGCACCTCACTTTGATGTGCGACTACAGATTGTATAGGCTTGGTCACTGATAGAGTTCGCAGATCCCATACGTGCAGATACTGATCATCCCCAACAGAGCCAAATAAATACTCATGCCTCAGATGCCAAGCTACATCCTCAACAACACCTTCATGAACCTACACATTTAAAATATTAGAATAAACCAAGAAAAGCTAACAAAAGCTTAATGAGAAAATAATACGAGAGACAAGATTCTTGTCCATGCTAGGTAGACTGAAGCTTCAGACAACAAATAGTAGATAAGATGATACCAAAAATATCCTCGAGACAGAAGTTGGGACACTATTGAAGTTACAGTTTAACTTTGTAACATGATATTAATAAAGAGAACTCATGCTATTCTTCTTCGCTTGATCTTTTTTTACTTCGAGGTGCCTGGGGGTGTTTGCTGGAAGGGAAAGCATACAAGTTCTTCCCCAATTATCAATCATGGTTATTTGCACAAGATAAAACTACAGAACTGGTAAGAAGAAAAAGTTAATTTAGTAGTGACCAAATCCTCCGAGTCCAGTAAATGTGAAGCTTTAGCCAAATTGTCCTCTCGTTTATGTAAGACATCATTTTTCTTCCCCATTTTACAGGAACAAACTTGCAAAAGAAAAGATATTTGATGTTATTTTTCAGTTCTAGAGATTTGTATAATGTACAAAGCGGGTGATTTTGCTTTCTGACATATATATAAAATATGATCGGCTTCTTTATTGTAATGATATTATTTCACTTATAATTCACTAATGCGAAAATCAGATTTTTTATATAATGCGCTAATTTTTCTGAAATAATGATCCTTTAATGTTGGGCCGTGCTTTGCACGGCCATGCTCTATCTAGTAGTAATATAAGAAACAAATAACAATATTAAACCAATGTGCAACAAATTGATAATCTATGCAGTGTAACATGGCAGTATCTATCCTGTGCAGACTCATGAAAAAAAAACACGAGGCAAACCTTAAATATCTGCATAGCCTCTATAGCCTTATTTTTGGGAGTGGCATTAATGTCCCATAAACATATATCTGAGTCATCTGAACCACTCAATAGATGACCCTGCTTAAATTGACTCCAAGACAAACCATAGCCCTCTGTACTGTGGCCTCTTAACCTTAAATCTGGATTGCATGCACCATCTAGAGGAGGCTTAGATGGATGTTTACTGTAGTCAAAAACACATACTTCAGCACTAACTGTCTTAGTTGCAATGATAAATGGGTTTTGGGGCATATATCGAGCCCGATTAACCTCTCCATCGTGATTTATTTGCTGGAATTTGTTTCGACTTTTTTCCCCTTTAATAGCACCAAAAATCCATATGAACAGAAAGAAGGCCAAATTAATTACTGCATGTGACAACAAAACATTGAAACGCAACATTGGCAAATGAAAAAATGAAACAACAAAACTTCTCCTAAGCAAAAGCAAAATAGAACATCAACAACAAACTCAAATTAAAAAAAAATTACAAGTATGAAGAGACCCAGATCGAATTAATGAACAAAACAATGTGAAAATAACAACACACCAGCCAAAAAGAGATGGGAGAAATCAAAAACTGACATTTGTTAATATAAAAAAGTGGAAAAATCAAAACATCACAGCAGACTTGGTCAAGCAGAAATAATATAAATAGCGAGCCAGTACTATATTTATAGATTGGAAAGAAGGGACTCTCCAAAGAGAGTCCCGAGCGGAATGAAGTATCATCTCCAGATTATAGTTGGGATGTATACAGTGCTGGCTTTTTCGTTTTGGTGGCTGTTGTCCTGTCTAAGTATCTAATTGTTGAGCATCTAGCTACATACAAGCAGCCAGAGGTTTTTGCTTACACCTGCTCAATCTTCTTGAAGTTATTTTTTATTTGCATATATCATTTGATCCTATGGGCTGCTGATCTTTTCTTTTTGGATCAGTTTGTGGTGCTTAATGAATACGTGCTTGTATTGTTATTTTTGTCTCCTACGTTCATTACATACACATCTTCGTCTCTCATTAAAGCAACCAACAAACAAGACCCCATAAGTGCTAGCTTCGGATATCGATCAAGAACTCTATCTGTCATATCCAGGTACGCTAACTCAGTAACTTCAAGAGCCCTGGACATTGCCCTCAAAACCAAATCATGATCAACTGGACCCGTCTTTAGTCTCTTCTCATTTTTACTAGTCCTTTCCTCCTCAACTCTATTTTCCTCCTCTTCAACTTTCTCCTTAGCTTCCAATCCAAATTTCCATGGGAACAATTTCTTACTCTCTTTTTGCTTACTTAACAAACCGTGTTTCAATTTTGACAACAGCAATGACCTCCTATTCACTGCTGAACCAGCATTATTTACACTTGATGCATCGTCTAATAGGATCTTCTTGATTCACATACTACATGTATGCATTTAGTGAGATGAGAAGATATTTAAAACGTATTGATTCGTTGTGGAGTTGTAGAGTTAATATCTTCAACGATCACTGAACTATGAGTGATTCCTTGAGCATATTTATCATCTTTGCAAACTTACTCAAATACTATCAAGATGCCAATATTCCATAAAACCTTATCCCCCTAAATATTTCTAAATCAACAAACATAACGAATATCATCAAAGTAAGATGATTAACCTTGGTGGATAAAATCATAGCAATTATGGGAACAATGACTTTCATTTGGAGGTTAAACAAATGAAAACAAACAGCATAAACAAGGGATCCTACATGGTAACCACTACCATAGCTCTTTCTTTGTGCGAAAGCCTAAACATGTAACGACATAAATTAGTGTCGAAACATTCCAGCTATATGGTATAACTATAACATAGCAATGAGTCAACTATTCCTTATAATTAAAAGAAATCTATATTTTTTTTGTGAAGACGCCAAATTTATGAGCAAAACATAAAGTATTATATCCTTAAAATTCTACAGTTGCTTTTATAGAATATTATGTGTTCACAATTATTGATATGGATGCAATTTGTCTAGCAAATCATATGTGAAATACTAACCAAGTTGTGAGGTGTGATTAATAACAAGAAGAGAGCTTGAAAGTTATTCACTCAACAAAGACGACATCAAACATCATAGTTTTGAGAATATGATATATGAACAAAGCAAGATTTTGACGGTGATTAATCACTAATTTTATCCCTCAGAATAAGAATAAAGAAAAATTAATATACTATTATAAAAAATTCATAAGAATACAATGAATGGATATGATCATACACACATATGTAACTGAAGGTCGATGACAGAACTACCAACTAAACAAGAGATCTCAACTCATGAAAAGATACAATTAAATTATTAATAATTAAAACATAAGACACATACATACAAAGAATCAACCTCATATACTTCACACCAATTACCTGGTGCCAGTAGCACAAAAGAATCGAACAAGATGAAAAGTTATGTTTTGACTCTGAAAGCATAAAATTTTGCTACAAAATTAATCAATGGAGATAACAAAATATTTAGAATCAGCTATATAAGATAGCTAAGTTTTACAAAACTCGAAACATAAGAACAACAAATTAGTTCACCCTTAAAAGACAGGGGATTTCATAGTTTAACGAAATTATAGAAGAATCTAATGTACACAAAAATTGAAATGAAGGTCGTACGAAAGCATTAACGGACATGCCTTTTGCTCAATTTTGGTATAAGTAGCTGCAGATCTTGAACGTCACACTGGAAGTGAAAATAATTTCAAAATGAAGGAGGTGAAGAAAATTCAACAATATAAGACTAAATGAAGAAAACAGAAAGTTAATTTCAATGAAAAACCCATATATGAACTATAATTTAAAAGAATTATGAAGAAAGAAGACCAACTGAACTGAAGGAATCCAGAAAAAATTGATTCTGACGGAAAATTCATTTTGTTCAAAAGAATTATTATGAAATAAGACCAAATTAGTTACTGCATGAGAGAAAATAAAACGAAAATCTGAGTATCCCGAAGTTATTTTCTGATGAAAACACAAGAACAAAACAAAAACTAAAGGCACAATGATTGAAACTATTGAAAGCAGTTGAAAAATTGAACATGAACAATAAACCCCATATGGAATAAGAAGTGGTCAACGAAAGATAAAATTGGGGACATTTTTAATGTACTTTCAATTTTGAAGAAAACAAAGAAACAATATGAAGAAAATTACCTTGAAGGCTGGAACAATGTTGGAGAAAGGAGAAGTTTTTGGAGTTGAAGCCTTGAAGGGTAAAGAGTGATGTGCATTGAAAATGAAAAAGGCATTCTAAAGATTACCTGGAAAGAAGACACGTAGTTATCTTTTAGAATAAAAAGACAAAAATATCCTCAGATGTGATGAACCAGGCATATTGAACAAGCCATTTCTAATATAGTAGAATTAAAAATTCAGCTAAACCATATGAAAAAATGAGGAAAAATTAAGATGATTGAGGCAATTTCTTATAAGTCTAATTATAGTATTACATTGTACAATAATAAAAAATTTGCTATGATACAATTTTTAAAAAAGGCATAATATATATATATTGGATTTTAAACTTGGCTTTAAATTTTAACTTTGACCTCAAATTTTTATAGTGCACAAATAGACACTTTAACTATCCCATTTTTCAATAAATAAACACGTGATTTCTATCTGGCAAAATGCGTGAAATGCACGCATTCTGCGTGAGTGAGGGATAATTTTCGAGGCCACAAAGGTAAAAAAATATTGAAATGACAATTCTATCATTAATGAGTCTCTTTTATATTAATTAAAATTAATTTTAATTTTTTTGTAATTTCAAAATGACATGTAAGATATTTTTTTTTAAAAAAAGACATGTAAAATGTTTAGTTAGTTGGCAGCCGCTGATTGGCTCACTAATACACGTGAGAGCGTTTGCATTTTGACGTACTTTGGCTCAAAAAATTTACGCTTATTTATTTATTGAAAGATAGGATAGTTAAAGTGCTTATTTGTGCACTATAAAAGTTTGATGTCAAAGTTAAAATTTGAAGTCAAGTTTATAGTTTAATATATGTATCATGCCTTTTGAAAATAATTGATCGAGTGAAACTATTAACCCTAATTTAAAGTACGTGCGAAAGTATAAGCTCCTTTTGTGGTGAGGTGACATGCAAAATTCATGTGAGGAAAAAAGAAGAAGAGGAAACCTTCTCACTATACCGACAAGATTTTAAGCTAAAAACTAGTAGTAGCAATTAATTATACTAGGAAAAGGTCCGTATGGAAAATAAATTTTGGACACATAATGCTTCAATAATAGGATGAGCCTATAGAGACATTTGTACCAGTTGTTTCCTTGGTGTCATGTGCTTGCGTTTGTTACCACTTATCCAAAGAGTCATTTTCAATTGTAATGAAATCTTTGACATTTTTCAAATAACAAGTATGGGGCTAGATTTAATACTCAATAATGCACTATTGAAGATTGTATGCTTGTCTCGTCTCTTTTGCTTTATAGCCTTTGTCACGAAATTAGAGTCTTACTAAAATTTCGTGCGGCACTGGACAATTTACTCACGAATCTTTCGCGATCTTGTAAGCTCAAATAAGCCTTTAAGACTCAGATCGCTAAGAGAATGAAATGAAGATTTAGAAAGATTTGAGAACTTTAGAAGAAGGCTTTTTTATCATTTGGAAGATTGATTACAACTTGTTGGATGCTTGTTTTCAAGCTTGGATGGATTTTACGAATGAGATCCACCCTATTTATAGTACTTCCTAGGGGGCTAAAATGTAATTTAAAATTACTTGCTAGTTTCTAAGTTATTTACACTTTGGCCCCCTCTCTAGAAATCTCTACATTTTCTACGAATTTCTAAGTATTTCCAAGAAAATATCTAAGGCTCTAGAGATTTTAAGGAAAGACTAGGGGATTCTAAATTCCTCCACTGACCTCCCTATAATTCTAGACTATTCTCCCTTCATTCGGTGCCAAATTTAAACTGTGAAGTGGAGGAACATGACACTCTCCACCACCTATTGATGTGACGATCGCGTCACATAGTCACTGCATCAGCGATCGAGTTTTGCCTTCTCGTATGTGCGACCAATAGTCTATTGAAATGATCAATGCCCTTGTGTAACTCCTTCAATTTCTTCTTTATCTCTTCTAACTCGGCCTCACGATCTACCTCCTTCCTAGTTTACAAGCGCCTCGACGACTTCTATGGCATCACGACGTTGTTCCCTCTTGGAATCTTCTTCGTGCATGGTGGTAAGGACTTCTTAGCATCATTGTCTTCTTTCAAACTTGGAATGGTGGATACAAATGCCGACTTCTCCTTCTTAGGATTT